AGCCGGGTTTGGTTGTGTGCCCTCTCAACCTCATGGTGTTTCCTGTTATTCGTTAAATTGCTGATAGTCCCATTTATCGGCCAGGACCCGCCCACTTCCAGGGTTTGCCTTTTCCTTCCTTTTCCTTGTAAGTGTAAGGTCTGAGTCTTAGAAAGTTCTGACCAAACAAACTGTACTTGGTGTTCCTTTAAACATTAATGATATTGTTTAGAAAACATTTAACAAGCAAAGGCAACTTGTTTATTTCTGCTGTTAGGTCTTAAACTTGTCTGGCAAATTGTCAGCTCCTTAAAAGCAGAGGATGAAGTCTTACTTTAGTCAAATCTGTGTCCCCAGATCATCGCCTACATCATTTAGCATATTTGGTCCCCAGCAGAGTAAGTGTTCAATGAAAGCATCCAAAGCACGTGCCCTGTGAAGCACCCAAGTCCAGAAAATTCCCCGACTTCAGCAGTGCTATCTAACCCTAATAACACAGATTTTTGTTTGTTGTGTTTGGTATATTTGATATTAGGCTGGACTTCTGGTTGGTAGACTTTTATCACATTAGTTAGTTTAAAATAAAATAATTACACTGATTCCTTGTTACTTTTAGTTTTTACATATTTATTATAGCTTAAATTAAACTGTTTAAACTCATAGATTCAGGAATCAGACTTTTGGGTTCTTCATTCTATTCTAGTGTTTTTCAAACTTATTTGACAGGGACACCATGAAAAATAGACTTTATATTGTAACCCAAGGGACACACACACACACCAACACGCCAACACACGCGCACACACACACACACACACACACACACACCCCTGTATTCTTATGCCAAAAGAAGTCCTTCTTGAAAGGTCTTTTTTCAGTGCTCTGCGATGTTTTCTATTTCATTTTTAACCTACTGATTGAGACGAACTAAATTGAAGTTCACTCCTACAGAGTCCCGGGGGGAATACCTGTCTATGTATTGCTCATCCAGCTAACATATTCAGTACTTACTATATACCATTTACTGTTCTCCACTTAACTAACTGGCTTTGTAGCCTTGGGAAAGCCACAGGTTAATGTTCAGTTTCTTCTATGACATGCAGATAGAGCGATGCCTACCTCCAGGGAATACTGTAGGTTCGGTTAGATTAGAGGCGTAACAATTGGGTACTCTGATTGACAGGCAATACGCGCTCCACTGTCAGTGCCTCTTGTGTTGTTTCTGCTGTACTTATCATGACTAAAATAACTTTGGTTTGAACTTCCCATGTTTCTGTAAAATAGCTTATATTACATATAACTTAATTTTCCCATTAGTGCTCACTATGTATTTTTATAGTTTTTAACTAGAGATATAATTTAGATACAGCGTAATGCAGCGGTCGCCAACCAGTGGTCCATGAGGTCCAAAAGACTGGCGACCGCTGGTGTAATGTACAGATCTTAAGTGGTCAGTTTAATAAACTTTGACAAATGCATACATCCATTTGACCTATACCCCTATAAAGACAGAAACATTCTCATCATACCAAAAAGTCATCCTGTGCCCCTTCCTAGTCAGTTGTCTCCCTACCCCAGAGGCTACCACTATTCTGATTTTTTCACCATTGATTAGTTTTGCCTGTTAGGACACAATCACACAGAATGAATTCTTTTATATCTGGCTTTTTGGTTTTGTCTTGTTCGGTATAATAATTTTAAGGTTCATCATTATTGTTTTCAAGTTCATCAGTAACTCATTCCTTTTCATTGCTGAATAGTATTCTATTGTATGAATGCATCATATTTGTTCTATTGATTGATATTTAATTGTTTCCATTGGAGCTAGTATGAGAAAAGCTGCTATGGATAATTGTGTAAAAGTCTTTTTGTGAATATATGTTTTCATTTCTTTGGGATAAATACTTAGAGGTGGAATTTCAGCAAGGCATTTTTTTAACTTTATGAGAAACTTCCAGATTAATTTCCAACGTAGTTACACTAACATTTATACTCCCACCAGCACTGTGTGAGTGTTCTAGTTGTTCCACATGCTCTCCAACATTTGATGTTGTCAACCTTTAGATTTTAGCTTTTCTTGTGTCTTACTATAGTTTTAATTTATACCTCCCTGTCACCAGTGAGACATGTGCTTTTTTGGCCATTCCTATTTTATCCTCAGGTCTGTGATCCATCCCTGTTTTTTGTGTATGTTTCAAGGCAAGTGTCAACTCTCATTTTAAGAGATATATGATCTCCTGAACAAGAAGGATTAGGATCTAATGTATCATTTAAAATTATTCTTAAAATCCTTGATTTATGTTCAGAGCATTCATTTATTCAGGACTAGTTGAATCCCTTCACACATTTTTTCCTCACCTGAAGAAGTTGTAGACTCAGGCCAGAAAGTATATATAATTTGTTTTAACCACAAGTATAGGAATAGCCCCCAAAAACCTTAACACATTTATTTCCATTTTACCAGAAACTTTCATAGGACTCTGGAGTTTGAATGTTGACGCAGCTACATTATACTGTTTACCCATGTTCTTTTTCTATCAACAAGCAGCTCGCCAGCTAGAAGTACCCCCCTGAGGCTATTTGTACTAAACTTCCAAAGAATTTAGTGCACTTGAGTCAAATACTAATAAATGATCATCCCTCCTTATGTAAATAATTGCTTTTACAAATATCTGTGGATGCCAACTGACTCCAGAAGTAATCTTTGAAGCGCATTCTATCCAGTCAGTTTGCTGAATGTATGAATTGCTGTTACCTTAAATGATTATACAAGTAAACCATAGATTTTACTAATAGCATAATAAAATATTGATCTCACAAAAAAGATGAGAGTAAGGAGAGGCTGAGACATCAGGAAAAAGACCGAAAAGTAAATATCAACTAAGTGTCTCGGGCTTCAGACATAATACAGGATACAGGAGGAAGAAAGAGGTGTGACAAGTGCTTTTCAGGTTGCTTACAATTTAGGCAGGAAGGAAAAAAGATAAATGGGAAATGTTCAATCAATGCAAGAGATAAATACTAATTGACCACATGGACCCAGTTGGTTAGAGTGTCATCCCAATACTCCAAGGTTGCAGATTCGATCCCCGATCAGGGCATATGCAAGAATCAACCAATGAATGCATAAGTGGAAACAGCATAAATAAATGGAACAACAAATCTCTCTCTCTCTCTCTCTCTCTCTCTCTTTCTCTCCTCTCTTCTCTCTCTTCCTCTCTCTCAAAATCAATAAACAATTCTTTAAATTTTTACTTTTTTAAAAAAGTAAGAGGTTAATTTCCTATAATAGTATAGATAATATTGGGAAGGAGAGAGGAGGTGACTGCTTCATGTGTCTTTTTGAAGTTGGTCATAAAAGCTAAAGTTTTGGAGAGCAAGCATGGCAGACGCTCTGGGTATTGTGTGGCTTATGTTAAGCTCTCAGTAGTGGTGTTTCATTCAGCCTGGGACAGTAAAAATAAATGAGTATAGATGACTAGTAGGCTTTGTCTGCTGTAGTAAGATCCTGTATAATTGAATCTGTCTAACCAGCCGATTATTTTCCTGTTGTCTGAAATTACAGAGCATTATGTTTTCTGACCATGTAGGAATTTCTGTGCAATTAAAGTGTATGTTTTTGTTGAAATGAAAATAATGAAATTACAAGAAATTGATTAGTTTCAGCTGTATTACTGAATTCCTCCCCCCAAAAGGCAAATCAAGATCATTTATATATTTTTATAAAATTTTTTATTTTTTATAAAACTTGGTAGCTGAAATACCATTAAACTATTAAACCTCAACCTTGACAGTTTTTCCTCAATTTTCACCTGAGATATAAATAGTGGTAGCATGGCCCAGCCAATGTGGCTCAGTGGAGGTCATGGTTCGATTCCCTGTTGGAGCGCATGCCCAGGTTGCAGGCTCCATCCCCAGTGTGAGGCGTTCAGGAGGAAGCCAATCAATGATTCTCTCTCATTATTGATGTTTCTATCTCCCTCTCCCTTCCTCTCTGAAATCGATAAAAATATATTTAGATGATAGATAGATAGATAGATAGATAGATAGATAGATAGAAGCATATTGAGTCACTCACCTTGTGGCAGCCAGCCTCCAAGTTGGCCCCCAGTGACCCCACTTCCTAATAGTCCCACCTTTATATATGGGTCCTCTCACATTTACCAGGGTCGGTCTGTGTGACCAATGAATACATCAGAAGTGATGGGATATCACTTTAAGATTGTTATAAACGACACTGGGACTTCGATCTTGGTGTGTCTGTCTGTCTGTCTCTGGCATCACTTGTGCTGTGGGAAGCAGCACATGCGAGGAACCAAGGCCTGTGCCTACAGCCATGTGAGTAAGCTTGGAAATGGACCCACCAGCCCCACGGCACCTGATGAGGTAGTGCTGGCCAACAACTTGACTGCAACATCCTGAGACACAGCCAGAACCACCCAGCCCAGCCCCTCCCAGGTTCCTGACCTTCAGAAACTATGAAATAAAAACAGTGTTTACTGTTTAAGCTGCTAAGTTTTGGGGTCATTGTTATGCAGGAATAGATGACCAATACACACCTCCACTAAAGCTTTTCTTTCATTCTTCAAATCTTAACATCTATTTTTTATTATTGTCATTGTTGTTAGTTGTGCTATTACTAGTAAACCTGTCATCCATACAATTCGCCTGATTGAGGCATTAAATTGATTGAAAAATACTATATATTCTGTCTCCCATTTTCCAATCCAGTGTTTGGTATAATAAATATAGACCTCAAATTCACTGTTCCCATATGAGAATGTATTTAAATGAAGAGTTTTGTGACAAGGAGCCTTTTTAAAATTATTCCGCAGATTCTTTTCATTTATGTGCAAAGCCACCTATTTTGTACAACTTGTAATTACTATGCAAGTGATTATGGAATTACTGTGAAACTTCAAGAGAAAACAGACAGCTTAACAACTGTTCTCAGAAGTCTGAGGCTCACCAAACAGGCTCCTTGTCCATTACTCGTAGCTCGGTGGTGCTTATTAATTATACAGGATAATAACAGTGCGGGCTTTAAAAAGTCGTATTCTTAAGGATTAGTTAACTACATACTCAAACCTGAGAGACGGCTTCTCAGCAGATCTAATGTCAAGGTCATGAGCTGTCCCCCGGCTCCTGCTCTCATCCCTCTTCTCCATGGTGTCTGACAAGGAAAAGGTCACAAAACACGCGGGTTTACAAGGTTTCTTTGGAGGGAGGGGTTGCCCTATGAAACCAGTGTCAGTACCAGTAATCATTCCTTCGATTCCTTTGCCATCGCTCATCAGACAGAAATGGTAACCATGAATAAAAAGGGTGACGGAAAAGTGGAATTGCAACCTCTTAAAGAGTGTTTTCTCCTCTTACTTCCTTTGTCCAAGTACTTTTCTAACCATGGATTTGCCTTAGGACATGAATAGATGTAAATCGATACTTTCCTTGAATCCTAGGTTATCAATCTCATCTTTTTATACTTGAAAATAAAGAAACTAGTGTTCTCGGTGGAAGAAAAACGCTGAGGAGTCCCATGTTGTTTGACTGACACCCTGGCCAATGTGGCTCAGTTAGTTGGAGTTCGTCCCCTACACTGAAAGGTCGCAGGGCACGTACTCAGGCTGTGGGCTCGATCCCCCGTCAGGGACAGTGCAAGAAGCAACTGATAGATGTTTCTCTCCCTCATCGAAATTCCTCTCTCTCTCCCTCTCTCTCTCTCTCTCTCTCTCTCTTTCTCACTCTCTCTCTCTCCCTCTCTTCCTACAATCAATCTAGAAGTAAAACATTTTTTTAAAATGTGTGCCCTTAAAATGTTTTTACACAAAATGTAACTGAAAATTAGCTTTTTTGTTTTACTCTCACCATGATTCTGAAGTATAATAATAAAATATAAATAGGCAGTTCAGGAATTGGTCTTGTCTCTCTCCATTCTGAATGGACTAGAGCTTATTTTGAAATTTTACTGAAAATTTCCGTTTTTATTTGGAACTGGAAAAAATCAGGTCCCTCCCCTTTAAGTCACATGCGCGCGCACACACACACAGCAGAGCAAAGAAGATGGCTATCAGGAACAAATGGAGTTCCCTTTTCCTACTTCCAGTATACAGATATTATCCAGAGACTCCAATAATGTCATCTTTTTGCCGAGACAGGTAAAACCCAGTGCCCCTAACTGCACTGAACACCTGCCACCTGATACCAACACAAATGAGTAGCATAGGCTGTGATTCCTGGGTCTTGAACTTGAACAGTTTAAGGGAAAAGGAAGCGTCAGATTTTCAGCAGTGAAACATACTTCTGTGTTAAAGAAGCCCCATGCTTTATTTTATTTAGGGTTTGTTTTTTGTTTGTTTGTTGTAAGCATAGCCGTTGAATTGTGAATTCCTCTTTCAAATGGGTTCCTATTTGTGGATGATGGTTATAAGAAAATATAGCCCCTGATGAAATAATTTTTTAAATTGATACGTGACAGTAATTTTCTTAACTAGATTTCATTTGAAAGCTTATATTATATGGTAATGTAAGCTTTGGTTTTTGAGAAAGTTTTCTCAGTGCTATATAAACACTTTTTGTAAGATGTCTTGGGAAACTTTTAATGTCTGGAGTACAGTAATTGCTAATGTCACTCTGTCTGCCGGCACATACTATATGCTGCTCCTACGCAGGACGTCAGTCCTTCCTAGCAGAGAGCAGAGAAGCGGAAGCCTGAGAATATCTTTCCACTCTCTTCCTGATCCTTAGACCCGACTGGACACCAGCCTGCATTCCCTGCTGACCTCTCATCCTCAGAGCTCACCACCCCCGAAGGGGGCGGATGGGGGTGGAAGGTAGCAGCTGAGCAGAGACTAGAAGAGGGGGTGGAATTTGGCAGCAGGTAGAAGGGATTTGTCTGCACCTCTGGTTGTAAGTGCCTCTGCCCTCTTGACCCACCAACTGAGTGAAGTTCTGTATGTAAAAATCACAGATAGTCCTAGATTGTAATTCAAGAACATTTTTAGCATGCTTTACTTATCTACAGCCACCTTGATAGGTCTCCAAATATGTAAACTCACAAAATTTCATGCTTAGCATATTTTAGAAATGCAAGTGCTGTAACTCAGAAAAGACCAGATACGCCTGTGGGGAATATACGCCTCACAAGCAGAAGCCGTGAGTGTGGTGGTTAAGGACACAAACTTTAGAGCCAGGCGCGTGGGGTTAAATCCCAGTCTGACCACTTGCTAGATGAGTAACCTGGACCAGGTTACCTGACCTCTCCTAATAGTTTTCTCAGCTGCAAAGTGGAGATGATGTCACTACCTAAGAGGATTGTAAAACTTAAATAAGTTAATGTTAATATAAATGCTTAGAACACGTCTTAATACGTAGTTAGCTCTGTATAAGTATTTGTTCTCATTAATATCATACTGTGCCCCCATTCTGATGTCATTTCTACATGTAGATGGCTCCATGGGATCTGTAGCCAACAGGTTCTCTTCATACTAACCCGTCACCTTTCATGTATAACTACTAGCAAATCCCTTTCCTCAGTAATTTTAAAAAGCAAAATGCAATGTTTTCTCTTCCCAGGCACAACACAGAGATACTTTCATTGAAGAACGCTATGGAAAATATAACATCAGTGATCCTTTAATGGCTCTACAGAGAGACTTTGAAACACTGAAGGAGAAAAACGATGGCGAAAAGCAGCCGGTCTGCACAAACCCACTGTCGATCCTCAAGGTGGTGATGAAGCAGTGTAAGAACATGCAGGAACGGATGTTGTCCCAGCTGGCTGCTGCTGAGAGCAGGCACCGCAAGGTGGGCTCCCCGGGTGACGTGGGCTGCGTAAGCTCTTGGGGAGACTGTATAAACAATGCCTGATACTGCATGTCCGCTGCCAGTTCTCACAGTAATTCAACCGGAGGTTCCCCAGGTCTCAGAAAGCCCCTTAGCTCACCGTGGAGCCAGGAGATAGGGAGGAAAACCAGGCTGTTGCACATGTTAAGTTTAGGGAGTGTGCCAGACACATCCAAGACAGCATTCCTTCTTGCTAGGGCACTCCAAACACTTGGCATGTTTTTTCAGCTCTCGATCATTCAAACTTTGGCAACAAACTGGGGTGTAACCAAGCTTGTAGCTGAACGGAGCATTCTGTTTGCTTATGTGATAAATAGAAAGATTAACAGGTATTTGGGGAATGAGCAAGCGAGAGAGAATTTACCTTACTATAAGCCATTAAATTATTTTCATTTATTTCTAGTGTTGAGTTTCATTGCATTTTATTTCTCATGAAACCATAAACAGTACCTAGGGTTGTTTACCTTAAAACTGTTCTACCCTAGTAAGAAAGTGTGTGTGTGTGTGTGCGTGTGTGAGTGTATGTGAGTGTGTGTGAGTGTGTGAGTGTATAGCCCTAGTTTGGAAGGCAAACCTGCGCTTTCCTCATCTCATTGGAATTCGAGTGCTTATGATTCCCATTCTTGTCATTTACTGCTCAGATGTGGCCTGTAAAACATGCTTGGCTAGAATCTGCATTTTTTTTTTAACCATTGGTTTCGATTTATACCAACAGGGAGGACATCAGCACAATTAATAGAAAGCAACTTATTCTGAAAAACTGGGTTAGCAGCTGCAGCTTGCTGGACCTTAGCTTACTTTTATGGCTACCTGCATTCAGGAGCCATCTGCTTAAAACACGTGACAAATTGCTTTGACTCAGGTCTCGCCCATGGGTTTTCTGCCCCTTCAGAGTCCAAATGAAAGGCCAGAGTGGGGGTTCTCAATGATGGATGGGCCTCAGATGGTTCATGGTCCCCCTAAAAATACACAGAATGCCAAAAGCTTATGCATTCTCATAGAAAATGAAAACTTCCCCATATCTTTCATTGAATTCTCAGTTGTCCAAGACCCAGGAAAGTTTAACCTCTGGTCTACTGAAATAACCTGAAGACATTTATGCCCCAACTTAAAAGGTGTTGATGGGTTTGAGTTAGTTGCTCTAAAGCAGGGGTGGGGAACATCCGCCTGCATATAAGGCCCAAGAAATCATTTGGTCTGGCCCAGCCAATGCAACCACAGGCAGGACTCGAAATTCAATAAATCTAGAAGCTTTTTTCATAGCAACATAAAGTTATATTAAGTGAATTATATTAAATCAATGGTATTATAAATATCCAAATGGCCTCAGCAGAAAAAAGTTTCCCTACCTCTGCTTTAAAGTGTGTGTGTGTGTGTGTGTGTGTGTGTGTGTGTGTGTGTGTTCGGCGGGGTGTTCAGTGATACATAATCCTCTAAGAAAACCTCACAGCATCCTTGTTTGGAAGGCAGGCCTTTTCCCACTTCAGACAGGAAGTAACTGACGCTGAATGCCTGGCTGGCTTTCGAGCCCACAGAAGGGGGTACTTAGTATAGGGGTGACTTGTGGCTCTGGATGATTAGGGAAAGGAAGAGGTTAGAAATAATTCCAGATTCCTTAAGACTGTATTTCAGTGTAAGAGTCTTTGAATGTTATCTATTTTAAACCAATTGCCTATCTAATCTTACATGTTTTATCAGAGTAGAACACTGACTCTGTTGGACATTATGTAGTACCTAGAGCAGTGGTTCTCAACCTTCCTAATGCCGCGACCCTTTAATACAGTTTCTCATGTTGTGGTGACCCCCAACCATAAAATTATTTTCATTGCTACTTCATAACTGTAATTTTGCTACTGTTATGAATCGAAATGTAAATATCTGATATGCGGGATGTATTTTCATTGTTACAAATTGAACATAATTAAAGCATAGTGATTAATCACAAAAACAATATGTAATTATATATGTGTTTTCCGATGGTCTTAGGCGACCGACCCCTGTGAAAGGGTCGTTTGACCCCCAAAGGGGTCACTACCCACAAGTTGAGAGCCGCTGACCTAGAGGCTTCTGATGAGGGTGCTTATAGTCCCAGTTTGCCCGAGGGAGTCCATTTTCTGCCCGTCACCTTGGCATGCCCCTTTGACTCTGAGAAGCGCTGTTTGAGCAGTGAATTACTGGTTACTCTGCTTATTATGAAATAGATTCCCTAGTCCACCTCTTCCCAGTCCTGCTCTTCAACATTCAGACTGCCACTTTTTCTAATAACCACTTATTTTGATAGGTAACTTCCGTATTTCTAAATAATATACGGCTCTTCGCTTTATCAGTTTTAGACACTTCCTTACTTCCTTTTATTATAGATGTGGAGCTCATTATCTTACACCCCACCACCCTTACTTACCACCTTCCCCAAACAAACATAACCCCCTTTCCTCACCCCATTCTCCGTCACATCTGCTCTTCCCGAGCCCTGAGCCTGTCCATTCTGTGTCTCAGAGGATAGACCCCGGCTCAGGCCTGGCAGCAGATGCCTGGCTGCCAACATTCTATGTCTCAGAATAAAGGTGAGGCACAAAGAACTGTCCTGGGAAATACAGACTCTGAGGCAGGCCCCTTGTTTCCTGTCCGACATCACCCCTCTCCTCTGCAGTCCCCGCCCGCTCCGGGCTCCTCAGGCAAAGCAGCTTCCTCGCCATTCCAAAGCAGTTACCCTCCGCCCGCCTCTCTCTCTCCCACGTGTCATTTAAATTCCTTGTCTGCTGACGTCAGTGTGCTCCTCGCCCTGACTGGGGCTGTCTGTCTGACTCTGGAACTCTTAGGTGCCTCAGTGGATAGGCACTAGTATTCATGGTATTATAAGTGTGATCCCTTGATATTTGGAAATGACTTTTTTTAATTCTTTAAAGGTGATCTTAGACCTTGAGGAGGAAAGGCAAAGGCACGCCCAGGACACAGCAGAGGGAGATGACGTCACCTACATGCTGGAGAAGGAGAGAGAGAGGCTGACCCAACAGGTAATTTGGTGGAGGGCTTCGCACAGCATCTGCCAGGAATCGCATTTCTCGGAGATGGTTCGGCCAGGTGTAAATTGGTGTTGCTCAAGAAAAAGAGCCTTGCCGAAACCGGTTTGGCTCAGTGGATAGAGCGTCAGTCTGCAGACTGAAAGGTCCCAGGTTCGATTCTGGTCAAGGGCATGTACCTGGGTTGCGGGCACATCCCCAGTGGGAGATGTGCAGGAGGCAGCTGATCGATGTTTCTCTCTCATCGATGTTTCTAACTCTCTATCTCTCTCCCTTCCTCTCTGTAAAAAATCAATAAAATATATTTTAAAAAAAGAAAAAGAAAAGAGCCTTGTAGACAAACAAGTCCGGGAATGACTGGATTAAACAAAGTTAAGCAGGTTTCTAACTTCAATTTCTCAGACCCTCTGGTATACAAATGCACACTGAGTCTGCAGGAAAAAGACAGTATTCTGTGTCGAGCAAATCTGTGTTTTCTCGATATAGAAATCTTATATCTTTTCTTGATATAGATCACTGACTGAGGCTATTGTTCCCTAAAATGCACTTTGGGGAACACTAATGTCAAACACTGACTTTTTTAAAAAAAATATATTTTATTGATTTTTTTACAGAGAGGAAGGGAGAGAGATAGTTAGAAACATCGATGAGAGAGAAACATCGATCAGCTGCCTCCTGCACATCCCCCACTGGGGATGTGCCCGCAACCAACATACATGCCCTTGACCGGAATTGAACCTGGGACCTTTCAGTCCGCAGGCCGACGCTCTATCCACTGAGCCAAACCGGTTTTGGCAAACACTGACTTTTTCTGACTTAGGACTCCCAGTAGAAATACGTTTTATTTGTGATTTTTTTTTTTTAATCCTTACCGGAGGATATTTTTTACCCCATTAGTCTTTAGAGAGAGAGTGCAAGGAAGGGAGAAGGGGAAGAGAGAGAGAAATATCAATGTTAAAGAGACCCAGCGACTAGTTCCTCCCGCATGGGCCCCAACTGGGATCGAACCTGCAACCGAAGTACATGCCCTTGGCCGGGAATCAAACCCGAGACCCTTTGGTCCATGAGTTGACACTCTAACCATTGAGCAACTGGCCAGGGCGAAACATTTTACATCACAGCCCAGTTATATACACACAGGCCTGAAACAAAAACATCATGAAATCATACATAATCCTTAAAATACACATGGATATTTTCTCTTCTATTTTATCTTTTAAAAGTTCTGGTTATGACTTACTCAATTGGTTTCCCCATCTATGAATGCGTCTCAACATTTGACAAATACTGACTAAAAGGGTTCCTTAACCCTTCCCTTTAAATGGGGTTGGGATAATGATTAAAACAGACTGCATTTGTATAAAAAGTATGATTTAAATGCAACTACTCGTATCTGCGTTTAAGCCCAGAAAGAGTTC